GAAGTTGTGGGACAAGGTCATGCCTAGGGACACACTAACGTTCAGCAGCTCTGGGGCTCCAAGATCCTTGCCCTGAGGGGTTTCTCAGACTTACAGGGGAGGCAGGACGCTATTTGCACTTAGAGGCACCAGTGTGGCAGTACAGAGTACCGTAATCCAACTCTGATGTCGTGAAGATTGAGAGATGAAACTTGTAAGGCATTTGGCATGTGCCGGGTGTACCGCAGATGGCAGCTCTTTGCAGGGACTGCTGTGAGCAGTAGGTGCAGCTCAGGGAGGGCGGGAGACCAGGAGGGAAGGTGGGAGGTGAGGGAATGTTCCAGGAGGAGATGTAGACGAGCTTCTGAGGGGCTCTGAGGCCCCAGGGGCTTTAGAAGAATCAGGCCGCCTGACTGGATGGCGAGGGAGTGCAGCAAAGCTTCGTGGGGGTGTGAGGGTAACACCAGGTGGACTGGCGAGCCTAGCTTGTGGGAACCCCCAGAGCCAGGCCAAAGGCACTTCCGTTTATTAGATGGCCACCAGGGGCCAGCCCTGCGTTCAGTATTTGACAGTGATTTTCATACCATCAATTACACCCTGTGAAATTCTCCCCATTTTACGGACATAGGAAGTAGGATCGTTTCAGATATTGAATCCCTGTCTCTCTAACTGCTGTGTGAGATCGGGAGTTGGCAGATTAACCGCCCAGGAGCCAGCGATCTGTTTTTCTAAATAAAGTTTTATTGGATCACAGCCCCATTCATTAGTTTACATTTTGTTTATGGTACAACGGCAGAGTTGGGTAGTTGCGGCAGAGATGGTATGGACCACAAAGCCTAAGTTATTTACTGTTTTGCCCTTTGCAGAAAAAGATGGCTGAGTCAGGCAACTCTAAGCCCTACATTTGCTGTGTGAGCTTGGGCAAGTCACTTGCCCCCTCAGAACCTGCCCAGCCAACTCCTGAGGGTTGTAATGATACTCACAGGTGATGGCTGTGAAACTTTTTTGTAAACTGTAAAGTGCAGTGACCTATCACCAGCCTGGTACCTGGTGGGCACTAGACAATGCTTGGTGGTGAACAAGAAGGCAGTCATCATGTGGGCCTTCCTGGCCCCAGCTGCTGGCTGCTCCTGGGCTGCAAGGAGGTGGCATCTGGGCCTCAGATGCTGAATGCATCATTGTCCACTCTCAGGCAGACTTGGCAGGTTTCAGCATAAATTAAAATTCTTGTGGGGATCACTTTATATGTGGTGCCACTTTATTGCCAAGTCATTATGGTAATTTGCAAAGTCCTCTGGTGTGTAACTAGAGCTATTTGCTTTAGATTTGCTGGCTATGACCTGGTTCAAGCTACTCAGTCCTGACATTTGGTGAACCCCAAGTCTTGGGGGTTTTTCTGAGTCTGGCCTCAGAGACGTATAGGCCTGACCTTTCTGGGGATAGAATGTGTCCCATACAGGGCCCTGTCTCCCTGCCCCAAGCTCAGGGAAATAATGATCATCACCATTACTTTTCAAGTGCTTTGCTGTGAGCTAGGCACCATGCCAAATGCGTTGAGTTCATAATCTCAGTTGTCACCACGACCTTGCGAGGTAGGTGTTAGCACCATTTTACAGATAAGAAAACTGAGGCTTGGTGAGGAAACCAAACCAGATTCTTACCTAGCTTCAGAGGTGCCAGTCCAGGCTCTGCCTTGGATTTGCTGTGTGACCAGGGCAAGTCCTTTTCCTCTCTGAGCCTCAGTTTCCTACCTATTAATGAAACAGACGGTCAGCCAGTCCCAGCCCTGGCAGTCTAAGATTTCTCACCAACTTGTAAAAATGAACACGGAACCCCATCACTCTCCCAGCCTCCAAAGGAGCTTCCTGTGCGTGGAGAAAGTGAGGCCTGAGGTCTACTCCTGGCTCCTGTGGCACAGAGTGAGATGTGGCTTCTGGGTGCCAGCCCCTTCCCAGGGCACCCCCTTCCTGTCCCAGGGCAGCGGGACCACGTGCTCCTCTCCCTCCCCGGCTTTCCCAGGGAAGGCTCCATTCCCACTCCCTGGAGATGGAGAGAGAACAGTAGTGGCCCTCCCCCATCTGGGTCTCCTGATGCCCTTGGGGACAGAGAGGCAAGACAACTGGCGGGAGGCAGTGCCCACATCTTTCCTGGCAGACTTCAGCCCATGGCAGGCAGAGGTGACAGTACCTGTGTCTTCCCAGTGGTGCCAGTATCCCTGGGACACACCTCATAGCCTCCGCTTTACCTTCCAGCCTCTGGGAAAGCGGGCGGCCTGGGGCAGAGTGTAGTTTGGGAGACCTTGGTTTGGGCCTCGGCTGTCCAGCAATTGTATATGACCTGGGGTGGCCACTCACCAGCTCTGGTGCTCAGTGTCCCTCTGCAAGGTTGGGAGGTCCCTGTTTCCACCCAGGGCACTGTGAGGTTCGCAGGAGACAAGGACTCGCGTGGGCTTGGAGCACCAGGTAGTGCCAAACTGTGACCTAGGAGGCTCCTTCTTCCTCCCTCCCAAAGCCAGCTTGTTTATTTATCGCAGGAAAACTTTTTACTGTATCTAGAAAAGAAGTAGCTAACAGTCCCCAATAGTTTGCTGAGTGATGGCTGTTTCTTCCCACAGAGGTGATGGGTTTGATCTCAGCTCAGTCCCTGGCTCTCCCTGTGATGCTGGCAAACTGCCGGACCTCTCTGAGCCTTCATATCCTCGTCTGTGGATGGGGCGGGCTTACCTACCTGCCAGAGTTAGCGCAAAGATGAAAGCTTGGGAGTCATTGTCATGGTTTTACTCCTAACTTCCCCAGAGGTCTGTAGCATGATCTCCACTGGAGTCCAAGGTGGGAATGCGTATTTGGAGGTCTGCAGTTATTCAGCCATTGATCAAGAGGCAGCCAGACATGGGCTTTGAAGTCTGGGAGATCCGGGCTTGAATTGCGGCCCAGCCCCTTACATACCCTGAACCCGAACCTGGTCAAAGGCACCCATCTCCACAAACCTTGCACTGAGCCTGCCTCACAGGCATGGCCCTTGGAAGGCGTGGTGGGCTCCCAGCGCAGTTCCCAGGGCCCACCTTCCTCCCCTGCACACAGCCTCCCAAGGGAATGAGGGGAGAAGGATCCCAGAGGCCCCCAAAGGGCCTAGGGGGTCCTTGAAGGGAACTCAGCACCGCACTCTCCACCCAGGCCTCTGGGAGAAAGATCCTGGCGCAACAGCCCCGTGTGATGATTAAGTTCTCTCTGCTCCAAATGCTATTAATGGTCATAAAATTATCCACAGTTTTCTGAGGCCCAGTCCCAGGGCTTGCCTCAGTGGGACAATAAAATCGCATGCAGAAACGATTTGGAAAAGGCAAAGACGGCCAAGCAGAGACGAAGTTAAACGAGCGGCAGCCTGCTCTCATTAACTCAGGCCATTCACATTTGTTACCAGGGATTTCTTTTTAATTAAAAAACAACCAAGTTATTAAAAAATAAGCTTGTGAGGGGCTGGCCGGGCGGCAGCCGAGGCCAGCGGGAACAGGCGCTCCACGCAGCAGGACGGGCCGAGCGGGGGCCGGGAAGGTGGCAGGGGGCAGCACTCAGACGAGTCCTCTGGGCAAGCTCGCCTGCGCCCGGGAACCCGGAGACCCCCACTCGCCCAGGAGCTCTCAAGCGTTGCGTGCTTATCAGAAAACTCAAGTGCTCTGCTTGCGAATACCTGGTGCCCATCCAGCGCCGTGGGCACTGGCGAGTCAGCACCGAGTGGCTGGCCTTGGCACACGGACAGTCGTGTGCTGGAGGCCCTGCCTCGGGATGGGCTAGAGTTAGGGTTGGGGGAGGTGGATCCTCAGGGCTGGGCTCACCAAAGGCCTTTTCTTACTGCATAAAGATTAGATGTGGGGGTTGGGTCTAACAGACCTGGCTGGGAAATCCACCCCGAGGCTTCCTAGCTGTGTGTTCTTGGGTGAGTAGTTGCACCTTCCTGAGCCTCTGTTTTCTCCTCTGTAAAATGGGGATAATAATACTCGTATCTCCCTCCACTGGCAGTGGGTATGCTCAGATGAGACAGTGGTGTGAACCACCAGCCCAGGGCCTACACCTACTGCTCAGCACATGCTGCTGTTGTTGTTACTGCCCTTGTCCTTATGTTAAGTGGTTGGCCATGTTCTGGGAATCAGCTTTTTTCACATCTTAATGGTTTATCTTGCTCCATGTTGACAGTGCTTGGACAACATGGGGCCTAGTGATGTGGCCTTGCATCTGCAAGGCACGGGGTGCTGCGTGAAGTGCTGTTTAACAGTGAGAAGTTTCTGTCCCTGGTGCAGCCGCCCGGCTCCAGCACTGTGCTAGTCGGACCCTGCCTAGCCTCTGCTGTTGGGACCCCGCAGCGTCACCCAAGATCTGCTGTGACGCTCCCCGTCCTACACAGGGGAAACTGAGGCTCAGCCGACACGCAGGGTTTGTCTGAGTCACAGGTTGTTTGGGGCAGAGTAGGCGCTCCCATCAAGGTCTGTCTGGCCCCCAAGCTCGTGTCCTTTCGTGCTTAGCATCGCTATGCGAGGTGGCAGGGCAGAAGGGCTAAGAAGACAGTTTTCAGATTAGCATTCCTCATGTGTAGATGAGAAAACTGAGGCCCAGCAAGGGGAAGGAGTTGATAACAACCATGCCGAACATTTTTGTCACACTTCATGTAGTTTTTCAACACTTTCACACCTACTGCCTCAGTTAATAAAACCCCTACCTAGCGGGGCAAGGTGGGGCATAAGGCAGGTGGGCTGTCAGGGAGTTGTGGAGGACGCAGGCGTGCATGGCTGTGCTGTGTGTTTCCGTGGCATTATACCGTCTGGTACTGGCAGTGACAGATGCTGATTTGCTTGGTGATTTGGGGAATTAAATGAGGCCTCCCGGTGCCTCCGACACAGCAGGGGTGCAGTTAGCATAGGCTCCGGGCACTCTGTCCCATATACCCCAGTGACTGCCCTCTCCCTACACGCCTCTGCGGGCCACCCCCCATTCACTTTGTCTCCTTTCTCCCTGTCTTTCTCTGCCTAGTGAACGGGAGCTACGGCCACTGCACCCCGGGCTCAGAGAAGAGCCTGCTGGACCTGGACCTTGTTGAGGGTCCCAGCCCCACCTGCTGCCAGGGCCTGTTTCTCCCTGCGGGAACCCCGCCACCCCGGGGTCACCCCCCAGCCTGCGAGAGGCTGCTGCATTTCCCCCACCCTAACAGGTATGTGCCATCCCCCGTCAGCTGCTTCTGTGGACGCTCCTAGCAGGCCAAGGACCAAGGGCCTCGGAGCCTCACCTAGTCTGCGTGGCTGCTGGGACATGATACATGGGACACAGAGGCATGAGTGCCTCGTAGCACGATGATGGATGCCTGGCCTGGACCCTGCACCTCCTGCTTGGCCGGGGCCTTATTGGGGACACAGAGATGTTTTTATTGAGTTGTTTGTCCATTGTACAAGCTGAGGTGGCTTTTCACAGAGAATCCGTCGTTTCAGAAGAGAAAGATTCTAGGCTAGGTTGGGGAAGGAAAACCCAGCTCAGAGTTCATATAGTGTCCAACCCTGAGCTGTGCATGGGCAGAGAGGGAGTCCTCCCAGTGCCATCTCCTGCCCCAGGAAGCCATCGCCCCACTGAGCCCTGCCAGGTGACCATTCAGTGCTTGTGCATTTCTGGTGACAGCCACCTGTGCAAGGGCATTTCATCAGGTTGCACATTGGGCTGGAAGGGTCCCAGTTGTGCTTTTGTCCCAGTCAGTTTTCTGTTGCTTATAACGAAATACCCGAAACTGCGTAATTTATAAGGAAAAGGAATCTATTTCTTATGGTTCTGGATGCTGAGAAGTCCAAGGTTGAGGGGCCATATCTGGTGACAGCCTTCTGGCTGGTGGGGACTCTACAGAGTCCAGAGGTGGCCCAGGGCATCACATGGCAAGGGGGCTGAGTGCACTAGCTCAGGTCTCTTCTTCTTCTTATAAAGCTATCAGTCCCACCCCCATGATAACCTATTAATCCATTAACCTGTGAACACAATAATCCATAAATGAGGGCAGAGCCCTCATGACCCAATCACCTTTTAAAGGCCCCACCTCTCAATACTGCCACATTGAGGATTAAGTTTCAACATGAGTTTTGGAGGGGACAGTATTCAAACCATAGCAACCTTGGTGGCCTCTGGTTTGTTGATAGCAAACCCAGTCACAGACAGGCCTCTGTGCACACCACCCAGCCCTAGAACCCTCACCCACCACCTGGGGCTGCTGGCCTGTAGCCTGCTGCCCAGCAGGAGATTCTAAAACCTGGCCCAGCTGCCACTTTGCAGCTCCTCCCTCACCAGCTGTTTGTTGAGTGCCTACCATGTGCCAGGCACTGTGGTTGGCACCAGGGTACCTTGGCAGAAGAAGCAAAGATCTCCCTGATGGAGCTTATGTTCTCCTGGGAGCTCTGCAGTGGGGACACTATGAAATAGCAGGATGCTCACTGTTCCCTTACAGAATCATTTTTCTTTGAGAATTGAGGTTCCCTGTGGCTTTCTTTGATGTGTGCTGGGGTTGGAACCCATGCTGGCTGAGGGCCTCTGGGCTCTGACTTTGTTTCTCCCCGTCCCTTCCCCACCCATTTCCCTCATGGGTACTGAAGCTACAGGGAGCCAGGGAAGGAGGGGCTGGGGCTGGAAGGCCACCGTGGGAAGCAGAGGGATAGGTGATGACCACAGCACCAGCTGCAGAGTGCCCAGGACAGTGGCAGTAGAGCAGCAGTGATCATAGCTCCCTCTGTCTTGCCATCCCCCTCCCAAAGGGCTGTCACAAGGCCCTCTCGCCATCCTGAGAGCTGCCCCCTGAGGCAGAGAGGCTTAGTCCTCATTTCACAGGTGAGGAAACTGAGGCTCAGACAGGGTGAAGTCACCTGGGTGTCCTAGCCAGACGGTGGGCACAGCAGCAGGTCTCCTCTTCTGCCCAGCCAGCCAGTGGGGCTTCTTGGACTCTCAGCCCCACACTTCCCTCTTGGCCTCTCCCCTTTTCAGAGTGCTCTGGTGACAGGCAGGCCCTGGTGTCTCTCTCTGCACCTTGCCTGGTCCCCCCACCCAGAACGGTGGGTGCTTCAGTGCAGGAATCCCGTGTGTCCCTTAAACCCGGCCTCCCATGCAGTGGGCAGAGGGAATGCCCCACATTTGGGAGAGGCTCGCTCTGGTCACCTGTGTACCACCCACGTGGTAAAGACAGTCACGTGGCAAACCCCAGCCCCACCCTGTCCTCACTCTCAGGAGGAGAGAGGCCAGAGTGGCAGGGGCCTTGTCGAAGTTCGCACAGCTGGAACATGGCTGCACCTGGCTCAGACCCCATGTTCTTTTTTTTTTTTTTTAATTTTAGCGTATTATGGGGGTACATGTGTTAAGGTTACATATATTGCCCATGCCCCCCTCCCCTCTCGAGTAAGAGCTTCAAGCATGTCCATTCCCTAAATGTTGCACATCTTATTCATTGTGGTTGTATATACCCATCCCCTCCTCCCCCCTCCCACCCTCCTGACACCCTATAGATGTTGCTCCTATATGTCCACTTGGGTGTTGATCTGTTAATACCAATTTGCTGGTGAGTACATGTGGTGCTGGTTTTTCCATTCTTCAGATACTTCACTTAGTAGAATGGGTTCCAGCTGTATCTAGGAATATACAAGAGGTGCTATATCACCATTGTTTCTTAAAGCTGAGTGGTATTCCATGGTATACATACACCACATTTTATTAATCCACTCATGAATTGATGGGCACTTGAGACCCCATGTTCTATGCACTGCCCTGCCTGGCCTGCCCGTGGCTTCTCTCCCAAATTGCTTTTTACTCAATCACAGCGTCTGGGCCTGAAACCCTGGGACCCCCGCCCCAGAAGGGGGGTTATTCCGCAGTTATTCCTGAGACATTCTCTCACCAGGACCATGCTTCAAACCCCCCACTCACTGACGTTAACAGTGGGAAAGAGGCTGCTTGGGCAAAACTTCATACAATTAGCATTTCTAGAAGTTAAGAAAGATTACAAGAATTAAGAAAGATTTAAGGGACATGATAGTGGAATTTAAGACACACTGGATCTGGGTATTCCTACAATGCTAGCCTCAGCCTTCTTCCTCCAGAGCACACCCATCGGGATGGCGTCCTGGGCTGCGGGGCTGGGCTGGGCTAGGGTGGAAGAGGGGCCTTTCCCTCGTCACACTCAGTCACCCAGATCCTGCCTCCTCAGTCTCCTCTTTCTCTCCCCTTTTTCCTCCCTGCCCTTCTTGGCTTTCCAGATAACCAGTCTCTGTTCACTCTCTCTGCTTCCAGCCCTCACCTCCCTCCGTGCTCTGAGCTTCCTCTCCAGCCCCTGCCCGGGCCTCCCCCGTGAAGTGCCCACCCTCTCATGACCTCTCTGGCCACTGTCTTCCAGGTCACCCAGACCCCAGGCCGCATACATGAACGGCAGCCTCCCAACCACACAACACATCAAGCAGGAATCCCTGCCGGACTTCCAGGCCATGGCCGAGGCCCGCACGCCCCTATCTGCCCACTGCCGGGCCCCACCGGCCACCGGCCTGCACATAGACCTGGACCTCCCCGGCCGAGGCCTCGCCAACCCTGCACCTTCCTGCTACCTTCTGGGCAGCGAGCCCAGCTCCGGCCTGGGTCCCCAGCCCGAGGCCCGCCTCCCCGAGGGCAGCCTGAAGCACTGCTGCCTCCTGGGCCTGCCCCCCACCTCCTCAGCCTCCTCCTCGCCCTGCGCCTCCTCCGACGTCACCGCCATCATCCGTTCCTCCCAAACGGCTCTGGTCACCTGTGTAAATGGACTCCGGAGCCCGTCTTTGCCGGGAGACCTGGGGGGCCCTCCCAAGCGGGCCCGCTCTGGCCCTGCACCCATTGACACCCATGAGGGCAGCTTGCAACTTGAAGCCTGCCGGAAGGCGGCCTTCCTGAAGCAGGAGCCTGCAGATGAGTTCTCAGAGCTCTTTGGGCCTCACCAGCAGGGCCTGCCGCCCCCCTACCCCCTGCCTCAGTTGCCAACTGGCCCTGGCCTCGGAGGCCTGGGGCTGGGCCTGGCGGGCGGGGCGGTGGCCGGGCGGCAGGCGTGCCGCTGGGTGGACTGCTGTGCAGCCTACGAGCAGCAGGAGGAGCTGGTGCGGCACATTGAGAAGAGCCACATCGATCAGCGCAAGGGCGAGGACTTCACCTGCTTCTGGGCTGGCTGCGTGCGCCGCTACAAGCCTTTCAATGCCCGCTACAAGCTGCTCATCCACATGAGGGTGCACTCCGGTGAGAAGCCCAACAAGTGCATGGTGAGTTCCCACCGGCCGCCAGGCCTCACTCCAGCCTGGCGGGCAGAGCAGCAGCACCTTGCTGCCTGGGGGGCCACGTGGGGCTCCTCACCTGGGGCTGGCCGAAATCCCTGTGGCTGAGGAGGGAAGGACCAATGCTGTGGATGTGGCCACTGCTCAACATGGTCAGTGCCCCGGCACTGGGAACTATGGCAGAGGGGCCCCTCAAACTCTCCAGGTGCTGTGTCCCCACCATGAGGCATTAGCTGTGCCTTAGCATGACACAGGCCTGTGCCATGCATGTGTGCCCTAGGTCAGAGTAGACTTGGCCAGCCTTCTGTTTACGTGCACGTGCTCCATGTCCCACCTGCCGGTGGCCAAGTGAGGTGTGGAGGACATGCTCTCCTCCAGCACTGGGCCCTTCCCAGGCAGGCTCCCTGGGCCTTCTGGAGCTGCCTAGGGCCTTGGCTTCCACCAGGGAGCACTGGGTCAGGCACCCGGCTTGAGAGCTGTGGGCCCTCAGGGCACACTTTGGGGCAAGGCCAAGGGTTGGTAGCTGAGGCCCTGGTCGCACCAGCAGTGTTCTGGTTGGCTTGAGACGGAGGTTTCTGGGAGGGAGCGAGAGGCATGAGCATGCATGCACACGCACATGCATTCACCCTAGGCACCCAGGCCTCTGGCCCTTCTGACTCGTCATTTCTGCATTCTGCTTTTGCTGTGGTAGAACTCTATCAGAGGCTGGGAGCCTGGTCTTACTCCCTGATATCCTCAGCCTGATCTCTCTGCCTGCTCCTGAGGCCCAGCTGGCCTACCAGGAGAGGCGCCTGCCTGGGAGTGGCAGGATGGGCTTTGGTGTGTTTGTGTGATGAGAACCATGGGCCTCCAGGGCCACTGCTCTGTCTGCCCAGCTGTCAGGGAAGCAGCACGTCTGGTCTGCAGGGGCTGGTGTCATAGCCAAGGTCAAGTTCTTTTACACTTGCACATTGACCCTGTTGCTGGGCCCTTCCTCATGGAGCATTCAGTCTGGGAAGGCCTAGTGTCCTTGCTCAGGAACCTTGGCAGCCAGTAGTGTAAATTCTGCCCTCCTGGGTCAAGATGCTAACCCTCGGCACCCTGCCTGCCCGTGTGGCTATGAGCTGCACGTCTGATGGGATCAGTTCCTGCAGCTTCCTGGAGGCTGGGTCTTGAAGGAGGAGTTCACTTTGTACACGAGTGAGCAGCAGTGAATGGCCTGTGCCGAGGTGGGGCAGAAGGACAGAACCTGTGGCTGACATCCTGGTGTGTGCGGGGCGGTGGGGAGAGGCTCACTGAGCTACCTGAGAATTTGACTTTATCCTGTGCCTTTGGCTGAATGGACCCTGGAGGGAGTGCTGGTGGCTGGGCCAGCCCTGGGCATGCCCTGGTTCATTTGGGGTCTTGTACATGCCCCTCCTGGAAGGAGATGACCAACAGGCAGAGCCTGCAGGCCAGGCCAGGCCTCCTGGCTGGGCCCGTCTCTCCCTGAGACCTTAGAGCCGAAAGCCACTGAGTCCTTCATGCCTTATCTCCTGTGTGTTAGCTCATGGGTGTCTGTGGGGACCTGGGAGGAGTCTGCGTGACCCGAATGACCCTTGACATGGTGTGGTCAGTGGCCTTCTCACAGTAGGGCCTCTGCATGGAATCGGCATCTGCGAGTGTCCGTGTTGGACGTTGGGGGCCGTGGAGAGGATCTTGGCCTCCCCTGCCATTTTCTAGCTTGCGCAGTGGAGGCCCAGAGAGGGGTCAGGGCCCAAGTTTCCCAGTGCAGTCCCATGATCGCTCTCCTGGGCCAGGCTGCCAGGACCTTATCTGACTCCACAGGACACTGGCTTACACCTGGCTCATGCCTGGCCCAGGGATCCCAGGCCTGGACCTGCCATGGTCCTTGCCCTGGGGATACTCACTCTCAAGAAGGGGTGGGAGATCAGTGACAGGTCCTGGGATGGAGTTTGCACGGGCTCAGGAGGGGAGGCCCAGAAGGGCTTCACGGAGGCGGTGACGTCTGAGCCGTGTCTATACTAACCTATGATTGCATTTAATGAGTCCTGTAAAACCAAGGGTTTTGACAGATGGAGAAACAAAGGTAAAGCAGAGTCCAGCTGGCCTTCCTCTTGCTCCTGTGAGACCACTCGGTCTTGCCTCTTGCAGGGCTAGGATTACGGTGATGATCATACCGGCAAGCGGCTGCTGAGTGCTGACTGTGCGGCGCTCTTTAAGTGATGCCTCCGTATGGCCCCCACACAACCTTGTGGGGTAGATGCTACTAACCCCATTTTACAGAGGGGGAAACTGAGGATCAGAAAGATTGCATCACTTGCCCCAGGTCACACAGCAGCTGGAGACAAACTATAACAACAGAGGCTGAGAATCACAGTAGTAACAGTAAGAAAAATTACTTGCCCCAGGTTACATGGCTAGCAACCATTGGGCTGCAATTAGAACCTACCTCTCTCTAAACTGTAATGCCCTCGTTTGTGTAGACCTTCTGCTGAACTGATTCTCCGGGGTCTTAGGGCGGCCCCTCGGGGTGCCACCGTCTGGAGCGGCAGCGACACTCTCTTCTCAGCACCTCCCCTGGCCCCTCCTGCCTGCCTGGGGTGGGTAACCCAGGGGAAGGGGCGGGCCCCAACCCACACCCAGATAAATAAAATCTCCCTTCCCTGTAAAATTATTAATTTCTCATGACAGGCCTCTGCTACCATGCACTGTAATAGACAAAGGAATTTTGGACCCAGAGCCTCTGGAGAACAGGAAATAGATGAGACATTTTGATTGAAGAGTAAATGGCCCACTAAAATAGCAGTTAATCCTTTTATTATCTTTCCAGCAGCCGTTTCCACAGTTCTTTCATGAGGTAAGCCTCTCCCCACCCCATCCAACTGTAATACTCCGTCCCTGCAGCTGGTTTGAATTTAGCCCGTGGAGCCTCTGCTCCGGCACCAGGCAGGCCTCGCTGCGCCGAGAGGAGCCCAGCTCGCCGCTGCCCGGGCAGTGCGGTCCTCGGGCCAGGCCTGGGACAGGGACTCTCCGCCCCCCTCCCCCCGGGGGGGGGGGAAGCCGCACCATCCACCCCCACCCTGCCCTCCACGCGGCCCATCCACGCTGTCCAGAGGAAGCTCCCTAATCTCTTTGCAATATCCTGTTATGTTTCTTAGGTTGCCCGAGTTGTCTTAGCCTTATTAAATGTGGGGCTTCATCCGCGTTACGATAACAAGGCTACGCGTCCAACCCAAATACCGACGCGACGCCTCGAAGACGTTAACTTCAAAAAGATTAATTTCATGCTTTCTTAGGTTGGTTCTCCCAGACGGCCGGAATTCTGATTGTCTGAGACCGCAGAAATTAGCAGACTGTGTAGCTTGCTTTCCTCCACAGCAAGAAAAAGAGAGGCAGAGAGAAAAAAGGAAAACACATAACAATGCCACTTACTACTGGGGGTTTCTAAAATAACAGCAGCCATGAGAAGAACCCCTCCCTCACTGCTGGGGGGAGTTTTACCAAAGCTGTGAGCACCGCCAGGAAGGCCGTGAGGCCCTGGGACCCACAGACCTGGGTCTCAGCCTAGTCTGCCACTTGCCAGCTCTCTGACCTGCCCTTTCTGAACTGTAGCATACTCTGGGGCAGTAATAGTATTTGCCTTTTAGGGTGGTTGTGATTAGGGTTAAAAGAGATGACAAAGGCAAATGCCTGGTTAATTCTCTTCTTCGCCATCACACTCTTTCACAGCGATCTCAGGAGATTTGTACCTTAGCCCTGGGGGTTGGGACAGGATCATTTATAGCTGTTTTACAGATGATGAAACTGAGGCTCAAAGGAGCCGGTCAGTGGTGGGGCCTGGACTCGAGGTGGGCTGAACATAGCCGCCTCCGCTGTCAGTGCGGTAGGCAGGGCAGTCCTGCGGCAGGTGTCTGCGGGGGCCGTTCACTAGCCTTGCTGATCGGTGTCTGCCGGGGGTCCCGATTCCTAGCATCTTTGTCCACAGTCACTTGCAGATCATCTGCTCTGGGCCAGCCGTGTCTGTAGCGTGCCCGGGGCTGGAACGGGGAGGCGAGCGGCTCCAGGGCACGTCCTCCAGCGCTGACAAGCACCAGTGTCTCAGGGCTGGGTTTTCGCCAGGCCCAGGTTCCTCGGGCGGCTGCAGCCGCACTAGCCACTGGTCCCCCTCCCTCATGCCCCTCTCCACTATTTGCCAGTCTTTCCCTAGGTGCTTTTGAACCCAGGGCCAGGCAAATACATCTGGCCAGAAGCTGAGTGTTACTGATTGGCCCCAACTAGAGGAGGATCTTGGAGCACCAGCCACCCCGCCTGACCTCCTCTTGGGGGCCTTGCCCACCTCCCAGCCTGGGCTCAACTTACTCCCATCCCTGAAATCCTGGGGCTCTGGCTTCCCTTTTAGCCTTGCCCCAACCCTCTTGCTGACCTCCTCCACCCTAAAGAAACACAACCCTGGGTGCTGGGGGAGTGGGGCGGTAAAGGGAGTTGCTCTTTACTGAGAGGTTCGGGGATTCTTCCATCCTGGCTCGTGCTAGCCGTTCCCCATTCCTTCTTAAGAACAGCACTGGGCTGAACTGTGAGGCCCAGAGAGGCTAAATCACTTCCCAGATCACACACACAGTCCACATGGCAGGGGACAGACACCGACCACATCTGCTGACCTGCCCAGCCAGTCTCTCTCGAGAATCCGAGAGAGGCTTGACTGGAGTTCTGGGCTCATGTCCCGTGGGACGTCCCACGGGAGAGGAGAGTCCGTGTGTTCTGAGACGTGCTGGGTCCAGCCAAGAATTACCGTGCCCATTTTACAGAAGCAGCAGCGTGTCTCTGCTGTTCACAGGCAAAATGACTTCCCCTGTATCACCTGGTCCAGCTGCTTGGGCCAGGCCACGCCACCTCCCCCCTCCTCCTCTGCCCCGCCTGTCCCTTCAGCAGAACGGTCACCTCTGTGCTGTCCCCATCACAGCCAGGAGAGTCCCTGGACATCTGCTCCCCGCCCCATGTCCTGAGAC